AAAGAATCAACAGATGAATGGATAAACAAATTATGGTATATGCATAAAATAGAATAGTATTTAATCATGAAAGGAATGAAATATTGACCAATGCTATGCGAACGAACCTGGAAAACATTATGCCAAGTGAAGAAGCCAGATACAAAAGACTGCACATTGTATTTATATGAAATATCCAAAACAGGGTAAATCATCCATAGAAACAGAAAGTAGACTAGTGGTTACCAGGAGGGAGAGTAGAGGAATAACTGCTTTTGAGTACAAGGTTTCCTTTGGGTGATAAAAATGCTTTAGAACTAGACAGAGGTGGTGGTTATACAACATTGTGAAGGTACTCAAAGCCAGTGAATCGTTCACTTTAAATGGTTAATTTCATGTTATGTGCATTTCACCTTAATTAAAAAATAAACCAGTAAAGAAGAGGTCTCTTCCACAATGAGCTGGAAAGGTGGAAGACAAGGACTTACAGATAAACATGAAAGTTAAATCTAATCTGTTCCACTATCGAAAATAATCAAAACAACACTTTAATTTTGAGATTAACAAAACCCACTTCTGAACTACAACCATTCATAAAAACTGAAAACTTTCTCGGTCCAATTTTGGAAAAAGAAAAACAACTGAATAATAAAGCAATGTCAAGCATCTCTCTTTATTTTTTCTATGGCAAACTTGTAAACTGAGTTTCTCAGCAACTGCACTTCTTGAGAAGCATAAATTTCAAAGAAAAAGGTATGTCTTTTAAACTAAACTTAAAGGGAACATTAATTTGTATAGCAGAACTATCACTGTAAAATGTTGGTCTTAGAGGCAAGGAGACAGGAGCATTTAAGGATTCAGACTTAATGAAATTCACTATTCATCACGGACCTCTGAGAACTTCAGGGAGACCAAGCTATGAATGGTTTAGATTTTTTGGGCTCTTTACTTCTGATGCAATAGAACAATTATTAGACTCAATGGATTTCATTAAGTTCAGATGGTCAACTTAGAGATCGGTATCACTATACATCAGGATTTTTAAAATTTTTATAATTACGTTTTTATTGTGGTAAAATATATATAACATAAAATTTGCCATTTTAGACATTTCTAAGTGTACAGTTCAGTGGCATTAAGTACATTCACACTGTCTTGCGGTCATCACCACCAGAACTTTTCATCTTTCCAAAACAAAAGTCTGTGCCCATTAAACAATAATTCCCCATCCCCTCAGTCCCATCCCAGGCAACCGCCAGTTTACTTTCTTTCTCTCTGAGTCTGACTTCTTTAGGTACCTCATATAAGTGGAATCATACAATATTTGTCCTTTTGTGTCCGGCTTATTTCACTTAGCATAGCTTCGAGGTTCATCCATGTTGTAGCATGTGTCAGAATTTCCCTCCTTTTTCTTTTTAAATGGAAGATTGGCCCTGAGTTAACATGTGTTGCCAATCTTCCTCTTCTTGCTTGAGGAAAATTGTCGCTGAGGTAACATCTGTGCCCATCTTCCTCTGTTTTGTTATGTGGGATGCCGTCTCAGCATGGCTTGGTGAGTGAGTGTGTAGGTCGGCATCCAGGATCCAAACCTGCAAACCCTGGGCCAGTGAAGCGGAGTGTGTGAAGTTAACCACTGCGCCACTGCGCCAGCCCCAATTTCCCTCCTTTCCATTGTATGTACATACTAAATTTTGTTTACCCATTCACCTGCTGATGGACACTTGGGTTGCTTCCACCTTTTGGCTACTGAATATAATTATCACCTTTATATAGCAAATAAAACTGTGGTTATAAAGAGATTACAAACAATTCCAAAAATACCTGTACAGAACTAGATTCAGTGATCTATAAATAAATTTCAGCAAAATTTTTCTATTTTGTATCAACTGGGTTTAAAATTAATAGAAACATAAACATAAAATGTAGACAATTACAGACTTACTACAAAGTAGCCTCCAGAGAAGAGATAAAGCTATAAATAAAGAAATGCATTTTTTACATACTCCTCATAAGACAACACAGTTATCATACAAATGGCCATTCCAAGGGAGTGTCTTGATGCCCTTCCTTGGAAGTGTTGCATAGAGAAGGAACAGTTAAAACACGAACATTCTCTCATTAAGCAGAAGCCAGGTAACCAATATCTCCTCACTCATGTAAGTGGTCCTCCACTTACAAAGACTCTGTACTTAGCAGCTACATGGATCAGAGAAAGATAGAAACACTATAGAATCAAGATCAAATTAATATTTGTGATTAGGCCCATTTTAGCTAGACCCAAACCAAAGAGCCCTCCCAAGTTACAGTAATAAGCTGCAGAAAAAAGCAAAGTTCATCATGAACTCATCACTTATAAAACTACTCTCCAAAACAATGTGTTTTCATTTCTTCTTCTATCAAACAGGGATAAGAGTACTTATAGCACTGTGATGAGAATAAATGAAACGACACAGATAAAGCTCAAAATATGCCCAGCGCTTAGTAATAAGCATTTCATAAGTGTTACTGTTATTATTATATCCCCCTTAGATACCAGCAATTATCTCCACCCATCTAACAACTTATTTGTTGGTCGATCTCTCCATTCATACGCTGTATATGTAATCTAATAATACAATGCAAGTCAACCATAAAATGAAAATAACCAATCTCCAAAGTCACAGAATTTCATCATATTAGTGAAAGTGCTATTTAAAAAATAAGGTACAAGATACTAATTAAGGTAAGGTGAACTAAGAATGATGAACAGATGGGAACTTCAAAACATAATTTGAATACCAACCCGTCTCCAACTTCATGTATTAATCCATTTCCCCAGGAATCCTATGATGGCACACACCATGAGTATACACTTCTCCCAGCTTTACCTACTGGTAATACCCTTTCTTCTCCACCTGGAGGATTTCTGCTCACCCTCCTCAGAGTCTCAGCTCACATGTTACTGTCCCAAGCTCCCCAGGCAGAACGCTCTTCCTCCACGATCCCACAACACTGAGCTGACAGTGCTAGTAAAGCAACCCTCAGACTGTATATTACATTAACTTCCACAAGCACGTCTTTCCCCACTAGACTCTGAAGTTCTCTGCGAGCAAGGACTACGTTTCCAGGGCCTAGCACCGTCCACGACATGGAAGGCACACAAGATGCTTGATGAATTGAATTGGATCCTAGAATTTTAGGATGGAAAAGGGCCAAAGAGGCCAATGCTTGTTTTCAGATGCAAAAGTGAAACTTAAAGAAGACTGAGTGACTTGTCTAAGTGACAGAGACAGTGGCTGTAACAAGACTGACACTCAAGTTTTTTTTCCCAATAAAACTCATGAGGACAGGAGTGTGTGTCTGGGCCACTGCCCCAAACTGGTTCATCCAGCACAGAACCATACTCTATACGTGTATAGTAGATCCCCAATTAAATGCTTTCATTACAAAACGCTATAAACGTCGATCCATAAATGTTGAGAAACAGACAGATCCTAGTTAAATTTTTGCACCATTCTTATATCAATTCCCAATTGCAATTCCGAGAAATAAGCAAAATCACCTCGTATGGTAATATGTTATATTAAAGTAGTATATGCCAAACATTTAGTTGTTTTCTGGCATTAACACATTTAAAGTGAAGCCCGTTTCAGGTTTACAGAAGCCCGTCTACATAAAGTGAATAGTGACAGTGAAATAATTAAAACTGACATACGCCACACTAATACACAAAAACATTATTTATACAGTGAAGACTATGCCAAACGCTAATAAAATGCAAGTGACAACTTGCCTTTGTAAAAATTAGACACAAGGATTCACATTTTGAGGAAGTTCAAGTTTACCGGCCAACAGCCACACCAAGATTTGCAGCCATCGCGGAGAGGCGCTGAGGAGAATGCCTACTTCCAGCAAGAAAAGTGCTTAGATTTCACCCACGGGGAGACCAGCGAGAGCGCCAGGGCGCCCAACGAACAAACGTCAAAGGGCACAAGCGGTCTCCCCTCCGTCCGGCAGGATTAACGTCCAGCAGACAGCAGGAACCCTTCCAGGAAATGCACGGAAGCGCGTCCCCAGAATTCGCGGACAAACACCGCAGCCCCAGGGAGCTCCAAGGCCGAGGAAGGCCAGGGTACCACGACGGCCCCTCTGGGGGACTTCTTGCGCAAGAAGGGAAGGGGGTCCGGCAGGGCGCTCCCAGGCACCGAGGGGGAAACGCCAGCCGGGGGCACCCTCCGGGCGGGCGCAGACGCGCCCCGAGCCTCAGGCCCTCCGCGACCCCGACACAGCCTGCCGCTCAGACTCGGCCCTCGGGCTCCCATCGAGGCGGCCGCAGGCCTTCACCGACCCCGAGAGCCTACAGGCCGAGACACCCCCTCAGAGGGGCCGCCCTGTTTCAAAGCAACGGCCACCGCCAGGAGCCACCGCCCACTCCGGCCCGAGCCGGCCCGTCCGCGGCCTTCCCCGGCCTGCCCCCATCCCGCAGGCCAAGCCGGACGGGCCTTAGCCCCGACCGGGCTGCCAGGCCCCAACTCCGCCCGCAGGGGTCCAGGGCGGCGGGACAGAACAGGCGCTGGGAGAACGGTCGGCCCGGGCCCGCCGACCCCAGCACTCACCATGGCGACTCCCCGGACCTGCTGCAGGCAGCACCCACCCGCGCGCCGAGCCTCCCGCGGTCAGGTGACGCTGCGCCCCAAGCCCCGCCCTCTCAAGCCCCGCCCTCGGGCCCTGCAGGCGGCTCCTCCATTGGCCCGCTTCTCGGAGCCAAAGTCTCGCGTGTCTGTTGGCCCTGGCCCCTTATCGCCGGACTCGCGGACCTAGGCTCCACAGTGTGTGAGAGAGGGCGTGGAGGTGCAGAGTAGCAGGGAATTGGTCGCTGGCGGGAAGGAGACAGCAGGAGAGAAACGCTACGTTAGACAGGCTTGTCAAGAATGGAGGGACGGGGGGAGGGGGAGCAGCCCGCCCACCTTCGCCTGCGGGGGAGCGTGCCTTCGTGGTGCGCACGCGCAGAAGGGAGGCCACGCTTGGCTTGGGGGGCGGCCTCAGCTCCGCCTCCCGGCCAATCCAGAGGCAGCGGAGGGGTGGGGCCTGGCCCGCGCTGGCTGGCTCGGTGTCTGCGCGCGGGCTTCGTCGCGTCGCAGCTGTGCGCGTGAATCGCTTTTGTCCGCGCCATGGAGTCTGCGCTGATCCGGCGTTTAGCCCCGCGTCTGGGCATCGCCGAGCCCGGTGTGCTGAGGTGAGTCCGGCCGCGCACGCCTCAGCGGCCCTGGCCTGTCCTCAGACGAGGTCCGCGCCTTTCCCGCGCGACAGGCGGCGCCGGAGCCCGACGGGATTTGGCCCTCCTCAGGAAGACCTTCCCGGGCGCGGGCCCCAGGAGGTGGCGGGGGCCGCTGTCGACGTCCCTGGGAACAGCTGGCCCGGTGGGATGCTCGGCGGTGGGAAGGGGCAGAGTCGGAGAACCTGGGGCGCTGCAGATAGTTAGAGAGGGTCAGTTTGCAACGGTGAACCAGACAGGTGGGGTACCAGGCCCCTGGAGGTCGCTGTCCGTGACGGCAGCAACCGCGCGGGAAACAAAAACGGCGGGGTCCCGGGACGGCTGGGAGTGGGGCGCAGCGCGGCCTGGCGGCTGCCTTTAATTAAAAAATCCAGGAACCGCCTCGGAGAGGGTGCCGTTTGTGCTTAGCCCCGAGTGACAGGAGGTGCCAGCCGTGGGAGACGTGGGAGGAGCGGCCGGGCAGACACGGCAGCCTGTGCAAAGGCCCTGAGCGGGGAAGCACATTTCATGGTCCCAGGTTAGAAGTAAAGCCGTTGTAGCTAATGCGTGGAGAGCGGGGCCAGGCCTCGGCGGCCAGCTGGGGGAGGGAAGGGAGCTCTTCTGAAAAGATTTGCAGACAGACCTTCTGGACTCGGTAAGCATTTAGAATAGCGGTTCCCAAAGTGTGGTGCCTGGACCAGCAGCATCAGTATCATCTTGGCACTTGTTAGAAATGCAAATTCTTGGGCCCACCCCAGGCCTACTGATGAGAAACTCTCTGGGGATGGGCTCTAGCAATCTGTTTTCACAAGCCCCGAAGTGCTTGTCCTGTACCTTAGAGAACCACGAATTTTGAGGAAGGGGTAAAAAGGAGCCCTGCCAGTCTCTGTGATAGTTCCTACTTGTTCTGGTAAGAGAAGGACGAAAGAGGACTTGTGTTGTGCAGTAATCAAAGAACTTAACTTTTGCCTAAAAGCGCTTCAACACAGTGGTGTCTGGAGCCAGAGGGCTGGTTCTGTCTTACAGAGCCCTGTCCTGCCCAAGGCTGTGCGTTTCACTGCCAGCCCCACATGAGCTTGCATGGGACTTGGGCTCCGAGTGGAGTCCACCAGGCCGGACTCATTGTTTACCAACATAAACTTCTGGAAAAGAGATTGAGTGGACGTGTTGCCTTATAACCAGGAAAGCAGAGGAGTACTTGCGACTGTCCCAGGTGAAATGTATTGGCCTGTCTGCACATACCACGGAGACCAGCAATGCAGTCATGTGCCTGGACCTTGCGGCTTCCTGTATGGAGTGTCCTTTGGACAGGGTGAGTAGATCCCATTGAACGTCTTAATAATCCAGTTTAACACTAGAGCTTAATCACACATTTTGTTTATTTATTTTTGTTGCAGTAACATTGGTTTATAACATTAGATAAATTTTGGGTGTACATCATTATATTGGGGAGATTACATCATGTTCACCACCGAAGACTAATTGCAATCCATCACCACGCATGAGCCTAATCACCCCTTTTGCCCTCCCCCTCCCCCTGTGGTAACCACCAATCCAATCTCCATTGCTTTGTGTTTCTTTGTCATTTTTATCTTCTATTTATGAGTGAGCTCATATGGTATTTGACTTTCTCCCTCTGAGGTATTTTGCTTAGCATAATACACTCAAGGTCCATCCATGTTGTCACAAATGGCTGGATTTCGTCATTTCTTATGGCTGAGTAGTAGTCCATCGTGTATAAATACCACATCTTCTTTATTCATTCATTCCCTGATGGGCACCTAGGTTGCTTCCAAGTCTTAGCTGTTGTGAATAATGCTGTGATGAACATAGGAGTGCATGTATCTTTATGCATTTGTGTTTTCAAGTTCTTTGGATAAATACCCAGCAGTGGGATAGCTGGATCATATGGTAGATCTATTCTTAATTTTCTGAGGATTCTCCATACTGTTTTCCATAGTGGCTGCACCAGTTTGCACTCCCACCAGCAGTGTACAAGGGTTCCCTTCTCTCCACATCCTGTCCAACATTTGTTATTTCCTGTCCTGTTAATTATAGCCATTCTGACCGGAGTGAGGTGATACCTCACTGTAGTTTTGATTTGCATTTCCCTGATAGCTAATGATGTTGAGCATCTTTTCAGATGTCTGTTGGCCATCCGTATATCTTCTTTGAGGAAATCTCTGTTCAGATCTTTTGCCCATTTTTTAATTGGGTTGTTGGTTTTTTTGTTGTTGAGCTGTATGAGTTCTTTGTATATTTTGGATATTAACCCCTTATCTGATACATGGTTTGCAAATATCTTCTCCCAATTGTTAGGTTGTCTTTTCATTTTGTTGATGGTTTCTTTTGCTGTGCAGAAGCTTTTTTGTTTGATGTAGTCCCATTTGCTCATTTTATCTTTTGTTTCCCTTGCACGGTCAGACATGGTACTTGAAAATATGCTGGTAAGACCGAGGTCAAAGAGCGTCCTGCCTATGTTTTCTTCTAGAATTTTCATGGTTTTGGGTCTAACATTCAAGTCTTTAATCCATTTGAGTTGATTTTGGTGCATGGTGTAAGGGAATGGTCTACTTTCATTCTTTTGCATGTGGCTGTCCACTTCTCCCAACACCATTTATTGAACAGACTCTCCTTTCTCCATCGTATGTTCTTGGCTCCCTTGTGGAATATTAACTGTCCATAAATGTGTGGGTTTATTTCTGGGCTCTCAGTTCTGTTCCATTGATCTGTGTGTCTGTTTTTGTGTCGTTACCATGCTGTTTTGGTTACTATGGCTTTGTAGTATATTTTGAAGTCAGGGAGTGTGTTATCTCCAGCTTTGTTCTTTTTTTCAGGGTTCCTTTGGCTTTTCGGGGTCTTTTGTTGTTCCATATAAATTTTAGGATTCTTTTTTCTATTTCTGTGAAAAATGTTGTTGGAACTTTGATGGGGATTGCATTGAATCAATTGCTTTAGGAAGTATGGACATTTTGACCATGTTAATTCTTCCAATTGAAGAGCATGGAGTATCTTTCCATTTCTTTGTGTCTTCTTCAGTTTCTTTCAACAATGTTTTATAGTTTTCAGTGTACAGATCTTTCGCATCTTTGGTAAAGTTTATTCCTAGCTACTTTATTCTTTTTGTTGCAATTGTAAACGTGATTGTATTCTTAATTTCTCTTTCTGCTACTTTGTTTTTAGTGGATATAAACACAACTGATTTTCGTTCGTTGATTTTGTATTCTGCAACTTTACCGTATTCATTTATTATTTCTAAAAGTTTCTTGGTGGACTCTTTAGAGTTTTCTGTATATAAAATCGTGTCATCTGCAAATAGTGACAGTTTCACTTCTTCCTTTCCAATTTGGATCCCTTTTATTTCATTTTCTTGCCTGACTGCTCTGGCTAGGGCTTCAACTACTATGTTAAATAAGAGTGGTGAAAGTGGGCATCCTTGTCTGGTTCCTGTTCTTAGAGGGATAGCTCTCAGTTTTTCTCCATTGAGAATGATATTAGCTGTGGTTTTGTCACATACGGCCTTTATTATTTTGAGGAACTTTACTTCTATACCCATTTTATTTAGAGTTTTTATCATAAATGGATGCTGTATCTTGTCAGATGCTTTCTCTGCATCTCTTGATGATCATATTATTTTTCTTTTTTCTTTTTTTGAGGAAGATTACCCCTGAGCTAAATGCTACCAATCCTCCTCTTTTTGCTGAGGAAGACTGGCCCTGAGCTGACATCTCTGCCTATCTTCCTCTACTTTCTGTGTGGGATGCCTGCCACAGCATGGCTTGCCAGACGGTGCCATGTCCACATCTGGGATCCGAACTGGCGAACCCCAGGCCACCAAAGCAGAACATGCAAACTTAATGGCTGCACCACTGGGCCAGCCCCGATCATGTAATTTTTATTCTTCATTTTGTTAATGTGGTGTTATCACGTTGATTGATTTGCGGATGTTGAACCATCCCTGCATCCCTGCAATGAAACCCACTTGATCATGGTGTATGATCTTTTTAATGTATTGTATTTGATTTGCTAGTATTTTGTTGAGGATTTTTGCATCAATGTTCATCGGTGATATTGGCCTGTAATTTCCTTTTTTTGTCTTGTCCTTGTCTGGTTTTGGTATTAGGGTAATTTTAGCTTCATAGAATGAGTTAGGAAGCTTTCTCTCCTGTTAAATTTTTTGGAAGAGTTTGAGAAGGATAGGTATTAAGTCTTCTTTGAATGTCTGGTAGAATTCACCAAGGAAGCCATCTGGTCCTGGACTTTTATTTTGGGAGAGGTTTTTGATTACTGTTTGGATCTCCTTACTGGTAATTGGTCTATTCAAATTCTCTACTTCTTCTGGATTCAGTTTTGGAAGGTTGTATGATTCTAAGAATTTATCTATTTCTTCTAGATTATCCAATTTGTTGATTGTATGGCTTTTTGTAGTATTCTCTTATAATCTTTTGTATTTCTAAGGTATCTGTTGTAATTTCTCCTCTTTCATTTCTGATTTTATTCATTTGAGCCTTATCTCTTTTTCTTGGTGAGTCTAGATAAAGGTTTGTCAATTTTATCTTTTCAAGAACCAGCTCTTGGTTTCATTGATTTTTTTTATATTGTTTGTTTAGTCTCTATTTCATTCATTTCTGCTCTGATTTTCATTATTTCCTTCCTTCTACTGATTTTAGGCATTGTGTGTTCTTCTTTTTCCAGCTCCCTTAGGTGCACTGTTCAATTCTTTATTTGAGATTTTTCTTGTTTGTTGAGGTAGGCCTGAATTGCTATAAACTTTCCTCTTAGAACCACTTTTGCTGTGTCCCATAAATTTTGGTGTGTCATATTTTCATTTTTCTCCAGGTATTTTCTGAGTTCTCCTGTGATTTCTTCATTGAGCCAATCATTATTCAGTGACATTTTGTTTTGTCTCCACCTATTTGTGGCTTTTCTGATTTTCTTCCTGTAGTTGATTTCTAGTTTCTTACCATTGCAGTCAGAAAAGATGTTTGGTGTTATTTCAATCTTAAATTTATTGAGACTTGCTTTGTGGCCTGATATGTGATCAATCCTGGAGAATGTTCCATGTGCATTTGAAAAGAATGTGTATTCTGTGGTTTTGGGATGGAATGTTCTATATATATCCACTAAGTCCATCTGGTCTAATGTGTCATTTAAGGTCAGTGTTTCCTTATTGATCTGTTTGGATGATCTAGCCATTGGTATAACTGCAGTGTTAAAGTCCCTTGCTATTACTGTGTTACTATTACTCCTTTTATATTTCTTAATAATTGCTTTATATATTTGGGTGCTCCTATTTTGGATGTATAGATACTTACAAGTGTTATATCGTCTTGTTGGATTTTTCCCTTTATCGTTATGTAGTGCCCGTCTTTGTCTCTTGTTACAGTTTTTGTTTTAAAGTCTATTTTGTCTGATATAAGTATTACTACCCCCGCTTTGTTTTCTTTGCCATTTGCATGGAGTATCTTTTTCCATCCCTTCACTTTCAGTTTGTGAGTGTCTTTATCTCTGAAGTGTGTCTCTTGTATGCAGCATATATATGGGTCTTGTTTTTTTATCCAATCGGCCACCCTATGCCTTTTGATTGGAGCATTTAGTCCATTGATATTTAAAGTAGCTATTGATAAGTATGTACTTATTGCCATTTTGTTACCTTTTTACTGGGTGTTTTAGTAGTTCTTCTCTGTTCCTTTCTTTTACTCTCTTCCTTCGTGATTTGATGGTTTTCTTTAGTATTATGTTTGGGTTCCTTTCTCTTAATTTTTTGTATGTTTATTATAGCTTTCTGGTCTGTGATTACCATGAGGTTTATATATAATAACCTAAAAGCATAGCAGTTTGTTAAGTTGCTGGTCTCTTTAGTTTGATCTCTTGCTAAAAGCTCTACTCTTTTTTTTTTTTTTTTTTTTGAGGAAGATTAGCCCTGAGCTAACATCTGCTGCCAATCCTCCTCTTTTTGCCAAGGAAGACTGGCCCTGAGCTAACATCCATGCCCATCTTTCTCTACTTTATATGTAGGATGCCTACCACAGCATGGCCTGACAAGCCTTGCATAGGTCCGTACCTGGGATCCAAACTGGCGAATCCCGGGCTGCCAAAGCAGAACATATGAACTTAACCGCTGCACCACCAGGCCAGTCCCAAAAGCTCTACTGTTTTCCTCACCTCCTCCAACATTTTATGTTTTTGATAGCATATCTAGCCTCTTTGTGTGTGTGTGTATCCATTACCCTCTTATCGTGGAAATAGGTAATTTTAGTACTTTTGTCTTTTGACCTTCATATTATCTTCAGAGGTGGTTGATCTGCTACCTTTACTGTATTTTTGCCTTTACCAGTGATTTTATTGCCCTTTTTTTTTTGATAATTTTCTTATTCCTGTTTGTAGTCTTGTCTTTCCCACTTAAATACATCCCTTTAACATTTCTTGTAAGATTGGGTTCTTGGTGATAAAATCCTTTAGTTTTTGCTTGTCTGGGAAACTCTTTATCTCTCCTGCCATTCTGAATGATAACCTTGCCAGGTAGAGTATTCTTGGCTGTAGGTTTTCTCCTTTCAGCAATTTAAATATATCATGCCACTTCCTTCTATCCTGTAAGGTTTCTGCTGAGAAGTCAGCTGATAGTCTTATGGAGTTTCCTCTGTATGTAACTTGTTGTCCTTCTCTTGTGGCTTTTAGGTTTCTGTTTAATTCTTGACATTTTAATTATAATGTGTCTTGGTGTGGGCCTCTTTTGGTTTATCTTGTTTGGTGCTTTCTATGCTTCCTGTACTTGGATGTCTGTTTCCTTCTATAGGTTAGGAAAGTTTTCAGCTGTTATTTCTTCAAATAGAGTCTCTTCCCCTTTGTCTCTCTCTTCTCCTGGGACACCTATAACACAGATATTAATACACTTGATGTTGTTCCAGAGGTCCCTTCAACTGTTTCGTGCTTTTTAATTCTTTTTTTTTCATCTGTTCACCTTGAGTGATTTCCTTTAGTCTTTCTTTCCAGCTTGCTGATTCGTTCTTCTGTATCATTTACAGTGCTATTGAATCCCTCTAGTGAATTTTTCGTTTCCAGTATTGTATTCCTTATTTCTGACTCGTTCTTTTTTATATTTTCCAATTCTTTGTTGAAGTTCTCTCTAAGTTCATCCATTCTTCTCCTAAGATCAGTGAGCATCCTTATGGCTTTTTTTTTAACTCTTTGTCAGGTAGATTGTTTATTTCTGTTTTGTTTAGTTTTTTATCTGCGGTTTTATCCTGGTCCCTTACTTGGAACGTATTCTTTTGCCTCCTCATTTTGCCTCTTACACTGTGCTTATATCTATGTATTAGGTAGGTCACCTACATCTTCTGATCTCAGAGAGGTGGCCTTATGTAAGAGATGCCTTATGAGGCCCAGCAGTGTTCTTTCCTCTCATCACCAGTTCCAAATGTTCTAGGGGTGTCCCCTGTGTGGGCTATGTGTGTCCTTTTGTTAGGGTTGCTCTTGCTGCAGGTGCCTGGAGAGGCTAGGCTGTCCCCCTGACTGGCTGGTTCTAATGCTCAGCTACAAGTGGCTGCTGTGTACCCATCAGTCACTTTATTGGGCATGGGGAGCCCCAGCACAGTTAGCTGCAAGGTCTAATAGCACATTCCTGTTGCAGTTTTTCTGTTAAGTGAGTAGGCCTCCAGCATGACTGTTTGCTAGGCTCAGGGGCTTACAATTCCTGTAGGCGTCTGGCCTACAAGGCTGTCATTAGCTCTCAGGATTGCAGCTGCTTGAGGCTGATCCCCTGGTGGCTATTTGAGAAGCACAAGTCTGCTGCAGTTGACAAGCCCCACTGCCCACTGGGCCACACACACCATCAACACAGTCCTGGCCCATGTGTGCACCCCAATCCCCTGAAGCAGACCCAGTCACCCCATTGCAGAGGCCCCAAACACTCCCACCTGCTCCTCACACATGCCCTGACCTGCAAAGGCGGACCCACTCATCTGGCTGCAGAGGATCCAGGCACCCTGCCTATGCAGGCCACAAGTTGCCTGAGGGCTTGCTGTTGGGTGGGGCCAGTCCCTAGGGTGGGCTGCTGGCCCTGGCTGAGCTGGGTTAAATTGGTGCTCTAGAGGGTGGGGCAGACCCTGGGCTACCAGGCCAGGGGAAGAATTCCAATGACGTCTGCCAGTGTCTGTGTCAGCATGCTTGTACTAGGTCACAATAATGGCTGTCACCAATGTCTCAGTCCCTGGAGAGGTCTTAGCTCTTACCAAGATGCACCCAGAGCCTATCAGGTGAGTCTCTTTTCAAGAAAGGACTGTGCACCTTTTTTTCTGGTAATTTTAGGTTGCTTTCCAAAACAGGTGAATTTGTGCGTGGGCCCTATAAGACCCAGCTTTTTTTCACTTTTGTCCAATAGCTTTTCTGGGGGCATGCCCTGTTGTTAATAGCCAGCAAAGCCAGGTATTATGACACTTGTCTACGTTATGATGAGTCCAAAAGAGACTTACTGTGGTAATGCTCCCTGCTCAGATCCCCCACTCCTCCAGAGAAGGCTGCGTGCCTTAGGATTGCCCCTGGCCGGCCATGAAGCACTGCAGCTTGTGAAGGTGGCTTTTTTTCTCTTCAGAAGGAATTTCTGCCTCTTCCACCTCAGTTGGATCTGTCCCTTGTTGCAGGAGTTCTTTTTATCCAGTTTTCACTTCTCTCTCAGGGGTAATTGTTCCAAGAGTAGTTGTAGATTGGTTGTGTCTGTGAGAGGAGGTGAGTTCAGAGTCCGCCTACACTGCCATCTTGACACCAACCTCCAGTCATACATTTTAATTTCTGGTTGGATTAGACCCTGTCAAAACTCTTGTGTTTTAGAATTTTCCTGGCTATTATCATATGTTATTATTTTAGATGAATTTTAAAACCATTTTGTTGAGTTGGAGAAAAGAGTTTTGCAGCATTCGTTTTACTCGTTACTGTCTAGTTTCCCTGGCCATGTCTTTCTTTACTCAAAGCTATCTTCCATGTTGCTGCTAGCATCATCCTCCTAAAGCAGATACTTTAAAGTTCATGTATATTTTTCTTCCTTTGTCACAGTGGTTGCAAGCACAAGCTATGGAGTCTGGAAGATTCACATGTTGAGACCAAATCTCAACAGCACCAGTTACTTAGCTCTGTGAACCTCCAGTTTCCCCATCCATAAAGTGGGGATTAGAACATCCATTTCACTGGATTATTGTGAGAGTTAAACAATATACTGTATGTACATGCTTAACGCAGCACTTGTCACATAATGATGCACTAATTAAATGGTGTTGTTAAAAACACCATTGGCTCCCCATTACCATCAAACTGTCCAGCCTTTCTTGAATGCTAACCTCAAGCTACACTATTCACTTAACAAACCATGCATTTCAGTGACTGATGGCTTTGTAAATGCAACAACTTTTTTTTTTTTAACCTGGAATGCTCTTCCGGCCAGCTGCTATTTGTCTTACATGACCCTGCCTTCCTGTTACATCCTTTATGAAGCTTTCTCTGACTCTCCCAGGCAGAGTGGATTTCCCTGTTACTGGTCCTCCTGTTTCTCTCCCAGTTTCCCTCTCCTCTCCCTTTCCCTCCTCCACACATTCACCCTCCCCACCCCTCCCCCACTCCTTTCCTCCTTCCTTTTCCCAATGAACTGTATGTTGGCACTTTTGTTGCAAAACAGGTGACCATCTATGCGTCTCCTGTTTTTTTACTCACAGCTTGGCTGTAGTACACTATGTTGTTTTTTAAATTATCCATGGAGATGCATGACTGCCTTTCTAAAGTATGAGCTCCTTGAGAGCAATATTTGACTCTGCCTGACATGATTACTGATTTTTGACTGAATGAAGCTCAGCTGTTAGGTAGAGGGACTTGTCACAAAATTAATTTATTTTAAAAAGTTGACTCATTAAACAAGTGTTTAAGGGCACTGTTGTATAGAATCTATGATATTTATGATTCGTGTGTATTTTTTCTTTTCAAGGCTTATTTAATTAAACTTTCTGGTTTGAACAAGAAGGTCTATCAGAGCTGTCTTAAATCTTTTGAATGTTTACTGGGCCTGAATTCAAATATTGGGATGAGAGACCTGGCTGTACAGTTTAGCTGTACAGAAGCAGTGAACATGGCTTCAAAGATACTGCAAAGGTATGAGGCATGAAGAACCTTAACTGAAAACTTATACTGATACATAAAATTATTCAATGTCCTGTTAATTTTTAGTTTTAAAAAAATAACATGCTGAAGTGACAGAGTGCATATGTCATGCATTTAAATAGCTTATAATTTCTAATTTTCATTTCAGTCCTTTTGAAATAATATTTTCTAACAATTCCACAAACGCTGCTTTCCCTCAGCTATGAGTCCAGTCTTCCACAAACACAGCAAGTGGATCTTGACTTATCCAGGCCACTTTTCACCACGGCTGCACTACTCTCGGCATGCAAGTGAGTGCCTTTTAACCTTCAGAAAAGTCCACAATTTACAAATAGATTTCTCATTCCCAAAGAATACTTCTAATTAGTTTATTTCAACTCGGAGCATCTTTTCTCATAAAAAATAACATTTGGAATAGTGGCCGAGTGACCAGATTCTGAGTTTACCTCACAATATAGCTGACAACTTGGATCTAGTGTTGCCAGAAGTCCACTTGCCAAGTGGAAGCCATATACGTGAGTTGGGTATTCTGATTTCAGGGTCTACCTTTTATAAGTGATGAAATCTGTCATTAAAACAGTGGTTGTTTGTGATTTTCCAGTCTTTTTTTTTTTTTTGAAAAGTACTGATCACAACTGTTTTTAAAGTAGTTTATAAACATCTCAGTGATAAATTCTTACATCTGAATCTTAAAATTTTGGGTTATCTATGTATGTACTGAAATGTTACCCTGGAAATATTAGCAATTGTTACCTCTGTCTAAAGGTGTCTTGTTTTATCTTACTGGAAAACTCTTTAGAAAACAAAATGTAGTTGGCCCTTAAATAATAGGTTTCTTACTACCCAGCCACTAATTCTGGTGTGTTTGGCTCTATTAGCTACATACCTAGGAGCAATTAATTGACATTAATCGAAAATGTCCCTTCAACAAAGGTATGTGTATACGGGGAGGGAGTATGACTGCTATTGTAGAAAACGATATTGACAAGTAATTCCACTTTTGAAACTAAATTACACTAGCAAAGTAAGGTTTGAATGGGTCTGTTATCCTAAATAAGAAGTTTGTTTTGTATTTTTCATTGGTGGTTGTGGTGGAGTTTATTAGGAGAGGTTTTTGGTGAGGAGACGGTGGTTTACATTCCTGTAGTATAAATGGAAGCACCATGGGTTAAAGTGAGTTGAACAATTAAAAGTGCTATGATTGTCATTCAACAAATTAGTAACATCTGAGATTTACTAAGAAAAAGTTGTATAAGGCATGAAGCACCATAGCAAATGTCTTTTATGTGCATCATTTGTTACATAACAGATCCCATGTGCATTTTTGACTCTCTCAATCTAATAAACAACTAAATAAATAGCTTTAAAAGGCTGATTTTCATGGTTGTAGCTAATGGCATATGTTTGAAATAAAGGGAAAACTAGACAGTTGGGTTCTTCATAAAGCATGGTGGGAAGAAAGTGGACAATCTGGTTGACCAGAGAAGATAACTACTGGTCTTACAAACCGTAATTTATCAAATTATTTTGTAGGCTTCTAAAGCTAAAGGTGGATAAAAATAAAATGGTAGCCACATCTGGTGTAAAAAAAGCCATATTTGATCGACTTTGTAAACAATTAGAGAAGATTGGGCAGCTGATGGACAGTGAGTATTCATTCTTATTTCAAGAATGTATATTTGAAAATGTAAACCTTCTGGTAAAAGTCTGATATTTCCAAACTTGCAAAATGGCTTCTTTCTGAATTCTGTATTTAATGTGGACCAGAAAAGTTTTAGAAAATTATTTTTTCTATCTTTCAATAAAGTTGCTTAATAACTTTTAAAAACCTGTTATTCTATGAATCCATGCCTGGAAAATAGATTCTCTTTTAACATGCTCTAATGTTAAATGCCACCCTCCACATGCATACGTTGGAACAGAGGTGAGTCTCCAGTCTGACAAGAGACGCCAAAGGGAAGAGCAAGAGCATGTGCCTTCTCCTTATTCTAGTATTGGTCAGTCAAGGTATCTGATTTTTATTTGTGATCCAAAATATGCCCAAATACTAAAATTGAGGATAGGGGAAAATTAACCTGATGACATTTTTTTTTCCTTAAAGGAGCGCCTAGAGATTCAGTTACTTCACCACAGAAGAAAAAGATGATGATGGTTGAACCTCCAGCAGAAGGTAAGGCGTGCTAACACTGGACAGACACTGAAGTCAGTGCAATGGATCAGTGTAGCGTGGGTTTAATACAGTATTGCTTTAGCAGCTTACCTGACAAGGATCTTAATAAATCCTGACAATTAATCATTGGATAAGACCAGTTTTCCAAGCTGTCATTTACAGAAGTTAGCAGAAGTATTGTATAATTCAGTACACATCTGAAGCCCAACTGCTTATCTTCAAATCCTGCTTTACCGCCTACTGGCTGTGTGATTTTAGGAAAGTCACTTAATTTCTGTGAGCCTCAATTTCCTAATCTTTAAAATGTGATTAATATTGGCACCTACTTCAAAGAATTGCATTGAGGGTTAACTGACATAATACTATTAAACTACTTGGTTCAGTGCCTGTCAAGCACAAGATAGGTGCTTGATGAACGCTCCCTGTTAGCAGGATGTCTTGGAATGCTTGGAGTATGAGAGAGAGCAAAAAACTGACATGTTACCTGCTGTTTCCACTTTTCATTTCGGTATCTTATTCCCTATTACCTTAATTAATTAAAGTAGACACTTTAAACAAGTTTCCTTTTTTATTACTTCATTTATAAACATAAGAATTTTGAAAGACTTTTGAAAAATTTTTTCACAGAAACAGAGAAGGTGGTAGAGATCCCACATAAACCTCAGAAAGATGAAGATCTGACACAGGATTATGAAGAGTGGAAAAGGAAAATTTTGGAAAATGCTGCCAGAGCACGAAAGGCTCCCGCAGAGTGACCTCTTCCAGACCGCCATGTGCTATAAACCCACAGTACGTCCGCCTCCTCAACAAGGACATGAGGGTTTTGGAATCTGTTTCAACTTTTAGAGCTAGGATCCTGACTATTGCCTTAATAGCAAAGAAGCCAGCCCGGGGCTGAGTTTTGGGCAGCAGGCTGCCCCTGAGGTGGGCAACAGATCCATTAGATCAGTCATTTTGGTGTAGCCTTGGCTCCCCACAGGTCTGCACTGTCCTACAAAATGGAATTGGAGTCATTTTGCTCTTTTGTTTTAAGCAAAAAACAGTCCCTTGTCCTATCCAAAATATAAAATTCAGGCTGAATGGAGTCTTAGGGATTTTACTTAGGTTTTTGTGTAAGTTGCTTGGTTTGACGAAATCAATATATGGTACAGTCTAAGTTAATAAATGTTATTTTTATATGCATTCAAGTTGCCCTTGTCATCAGTTTTGGGGGAATCCTTGCTATTTCAAAAGCTGTCTACTCTAGCAGGAAAAAAGCCCCAAGTGCTGCACACTGAACCATACTGTTCCCTGGAGCACAGACTCTTGTCAGACTTCCTGAGCTTAACCCTGGTTAGCCACTTAGCACCTGTGACACCTTGAGCAAATTAATTAACTTCTTCATGCCTTATCTGTAATAGGACTAAAAACAGTGTCTACCTCATAGAATAATTTGGAGCAGCATCTGAGCTAATACATGTAAAGCATTTAACACAGAACCTGGTATAAGTATTTAGTAAATATTTGAATAGAGAGAGAAATTCCTATATAGCGGTCTCACATAATGAAGTATAATTAGCATTAACATCATTAAAAAATCAAATGGACCAAGGTTTATTTTCTTTGATATCCACATACTGAAAAACATAACCTTATAAAATACTGCTTATTTTAAAACTATGGGAAAGGGTCTTCTATGGAAGATAAGAAGTTGCTATGGGCTCTAAGGCATCGTGCCAGACATGATTTTAACTAAAATAAAGAATACATAATCTAATTAAATATTTCCATGAAGAATGCAATAAAGTGATTACATCCAAATTTTAAAAACCTTTCAGAATGGTATCACTAATACTAGTTGTTGCCTTTTATCTGCTATAAGTAAGGCATAATACCTGCTGCATAGACCTGAGTGCTAAAGGAGTGATTTCTTTTTTCTTTTTTTAAAGATTTTATTTTTTTCCTTTTTCTCCCCAACCCCCCCCCCCCCCCCCGCCCCGGGTACATAGTTGTATATTCTTCATTGTGGGTCCTTCTGGTTGTGGCATGTGGGACGCTGCCTCAGCGTGGCTTGATGAGCAGTGCCGTGTCTGCCCCCAGGATTCGAACGAACGAAACACTGGGCCGCCTGCAGCAGAGCGCGCAAACTTAACCACTTGGCCACAGGGCCAGCCCCCTAAAGGAGTGATTTCTTTTTCCTCTGCCCGTTTTATGTCTAGATGCTTAGTAGGCTAAGGCTGAAGAAATGCCACAATCAAATTGTTCCCAACACAGGAGAATGTCTGCCAGCCCTGTGGTAGAGGGGAATGACTCTGAGCTTTGGAACCACACACATACACTGGTCCTTAAATTCTGACTCTGCCACTTACACCCTAAGGAAATTTCAAAACCTTAAAGAGCCTCAGTTTCCGCATTTATAAAATGGAGATATTTATCTACCTTGTGAGGATTAAAGGTAATATTTATGAAGTGCATGGCACTTAGAAGGCATTCACTAAACAGGGGTTCTTGTTAGTACTTTGATCTAAAATGGATAAGTGAGTCTTTTCCTCATTTATTTTAAGAAGGTGTATAATTTGTTTTTATTTGGTGCCAAGATTTAAATTTTTAGCTTTGGGTCAAAAGCCATCTACTCATCACCAGGTAAAATTAAGCACATTCGCTTTTTCTTTAATTGTAAAATATACGTGAAATTTACCATCTTAACTATTTGTAAGTGTACAGTCAGTAGTGTTAAGTACATTCACATTGTTATGCAACCAATCTCAGGAACTCTTCATCTCATGTAGCTGACTGTACCCATTAAACTCATTAAGCTCCCATTTCCCCGTCTTCCAGACCCTGGTAACATCTATTCTAGTTTCTGTCTCTATGAATTTGACTACTGTAGGTACCTCATGTAAGTGGAATCAGTCTTTTTGTGACTGGTTTATTTCACTTAGCATAATGTCCTTAAGCTTCATTCGTGTTGTAACGTGTCAGAATTTCCTTCCTTTTTAAGGCTAAATAATATTCCATGTACAAATATAACACATTATGTTTATCCATTCATCTGTCAGTGGACACCTGAATTGCTTCCACCTTTTAGCTATTGTGAATAATGCTGCTGTGAACATGGATGTACAAATATTTCTTTGAAACTCTGCTTTCAGTTCTTGTGGATATATGCCCAGAAGCGGGATTTGCTAGATCATATGCTAATTCTATTTTTAAATTTTTTAGGAACCACCATACTATTTTCCATAGCAGCTCCACCATATAACATTCCCACCAACAGTACACAAGCGTTTTCTCCACAATTTCTGCACATCCTCACCAACATTTATCTTTTGGACACTTTTGTTATTTTCTGATTTTGTTTTTTGGAGGAAGATTAGCCCTGAGCTAACCACTGTCAATCCTCCTCTTTTTGCAAAGGAAGGCTGGCCCTGAGCTAACATCCGTGCCCGTCTTCCTCTACTTTATACGTGGGACGCCTACCACAGCATGGCTTGCCAAGCGGTGCCATGTCCAAACCGGGATCTGAACCGGCGAACCCTGGGCCGCCGAAGTGGAACATGCACACCTAACTGCTGCACCACCAGGCCGGCCCCCTATTTTCTGATTTTTTGATAGTAGTCATCCTCATGGGTGTGAGGTGGTATCTCATTGTGGTTTTGATTTGCATTTCCCTAGTGAATAGTAAGCACTTTTTCAAATGCTGTTGGCCATTTGTATATCTTCTATGGAAAATGTTTATTCAAGTCTTTTGTCCATTTTTGAATCAGACTGTTTTGTTGTTGAGTTGTAGGAGTTATATAGTCTAGATATTAACCTCTTATCACATATATGATTTGCAAATATTTTCTCCCATTTATTAATTTGTCTTTTCACTGCTGAGTCCATGAGAATAAATATAAGTACTATTTGTGACTTTCTTTTCCCTTTATACCTTAAAAGCAGGTCATGGTAATTATTTTGAGGATCTGGAACGTAGTAGGTACTTGTTTATTTCTTAAATTAGTTGGGGAGTGGGGGATTGCCTTAAAGCAACCTTATCCAAATGCCCTCCTAGGGCAGGAATTCTTGCTATAACAATTTTCCATCACATTCACACTCCGAGGGATGGGAGCTTACTACTTAGTGAGTCTGCTGTTTCAGAACTGTTCTAAAGACTTTTTGGAAGCTCAGTTCTTTAAGCTCATGGTTTATTTAACTGATTTAAAAAACTTTTTTATCATGAAAGTTTTCAAATATATACAACAGTAAAGAGGACAGTATGATGAAAGCACACATGGATCACCTAGACCCAACAGTTAACAAGATTTTGCCACACTTGCTTAACTATATCTCCTTTTCTCCTGAAGTCATTTAACCTACATTATAACCACATTGCCATTATCATACCTCACAAAATTAATAGAAATTCTTTCTATCATCAAGTATGCAATTTAGAATGATATATCCGCGGCATGTCTCTAAAACATCTTTTTATTGTTTGTGTGCTCCAATCAGGGTCAAAACAAAGTCCATACTTGATATTGGGTTGCTAATTTTTACTTATAAAAGCAATACATGCTCATGTAAAAAAAAATTCAAATGATTCAGAAAGTTTATAAAGTGAAAAGCGGAATTCCCCCTCCCCATCACCCACTTTCCACACCCCACTGTTAAGCTTCTTGTATATCCTAGAACATTTCAATGCACATATAAGCATGTATCTCTCCACAAACGGGACAATGCCATGTGTATGGTTTATAATTTTTTGTAATGAAAAGATGGTTGTCGGCACATCTAGGTCTATCTCTAACAGCTGCAAGTTATTACCCTAAACGGATGTGGCAAAAGTTATTGGACTAAACCCATACTGATAGGCATATATGTAAGTTGGTTTCATTGGGCCGTTAGCAGCAGTGCTACAGTGAACATCATTTTGCATGAATCTCTGTCCACTTGTTCCATTATTGCTGAGGAATGAATTTCTAGAAATGGAATTGCTGGGTGATAGTGTGGGCATGACTTTTATTGGGATACCTATCTGTCAAAAGTGGAAGAATTCTATTTTCCCCATACCCTCATCAATCTGATAGGTGAAAAAAGTGGGTCCTGACTACGTTTTAGAGTTTCTCTGCCCCACAATTTCCAATGACTGTTCATACAAATGGAAAAGTCCCTTTAGAAATAGTTGATACCGGCACAGTTGCAATCTAAAAATTTTTTGAGCTAAGTACACACCAGCAAAGTAGAGAACTAAAAATATCCAGAAAGTTGAAGCTTCATAAAAGCTCCCTTGAAATTTCAGATAAAGGAGGCTGAAATCCACATTACCAGTCAATTGTGTGGGTCTGACCCAAACAAACCCCTCAAGGGGGCTTTGGAAAGAAGTTGTTTCTCTAGGTAAAGAATAACAGCATATAGGGAAAAAAGAAAATTTGATAAGAAGATTCTCCCTGTATCTGCCCTGTCCAGGGGAAGCTACTAACCACATGTGGCCATTAAGCACTTAAAATGTGGCTAATGCAGTTGCAGGACTGAACTTCTAATTTTATTTAATTTTAATTAAATGTAAAAATGGACACAATTCAATTAGAAAACACTTAAGATGTTTTGAACTTGAGTATGTGAGTATATCTTTCTACAGTAAATTATATGAAATCTAAGTATAAATTAAGTATGTCTCATGAAAACCTAGCATCTGAATTGAAATGTATTTTAACTAAAATACACACGAGATTTTGGAGACTTAGTATGAAAAAAAGAATTTAAAATATCAATAATTTTTATGTTGATTATATATTGAAATAATGTTTTTTATTTATTGTGTTAAATCATTAAAATTAATTTAACCAGGGTTTTTTTAGAGGAGCTATTGGAAATCTTTAAATTATGTATATGGCTCATATTATATTTGTCAGACAGTGCTGCTCTAGATTGGGATAACTAACCATACATTTTTCTGGAGAGAAGATTCATAGCATTCCCAAGAATCTGAAGGCTCAGGGAGAGTAGGAATCGCCCTACTAGGTAGAACTATATTTCTCTACCTTCTTCTGGAGGCTGCCCTCAGAACTTTTTAAGAGGATTAACTGATGCTTTAAAATGAAGCATTTTATAAATCACTGTTCCTCTCTCATGACAGGGACAGTCCCAGCAGCCATCTCTTCTGACGTTCATTGACTCACTGGCCAGTTTGGAGCAGGCCTGGCCGTGCTGGTCCTGAAAAT